ATCGGACATTGTTTCGTTCTGCTGTGCATGAAGTCGCTATGAGTCGGTTCCAACTCGATGGCACCTGACAACAACAACAAGTCACTCCTTGGAAATCCTATACAAGGTTGCTATGAGTCACAACTTACTGAACAGCAATAACATCTTCATTCATCAAGGGTTCTATATCAAGATTTCACACATGAATGAGCTTTCTGTTCTTTTCCACTGATTAATTTGTGTTCTAATATCATACTGTTTTCTAACATCATAATACCTTACATAAGAAAAGCAAGTAGAGTATGAGGATTGCTTCTATATGACCTTTCTAGCTGTGATCTTTTATTTTCCACCAAATAATTGTATGGGACTATGCAAATTAGGTGGAGTCCTGGTGTGGCGCTGTGGGTTAATGTGTCAGACTGCAAAGCCGTTTGAACTGCAAGGTCGGCAGTTCAAGCTCACCAGCTGCTCCTTGGAACCCCTATACAGGGTCACTATGGGTCAGAATCGACTCAACGACACTCAACAACAAAGTCCATCAAGGAAATTAGTTTGCTAATAATGCAAATAAGGTGCTTGACACCCTTGTGGGAGATGATACCATGCAAATGGGGTATATGAAACAATAACAAGGGTTTTGCTATCCACATGACTTTAGAAAGTCAATCTCAGAGGAAAGGGAAGACCATAACCACCAACAAGAGACAGGAGCAGAGTGCTGAGAACCTCGTAGATCCAGGAGACAGATCTGTAACACTGGAGATAGGAGTCAGGGTCTACTAGTTCCACCTTTCAGGAAGCCCAAGTTCATAAACATATATGAATGGGAAGATTGTCAAGGTGTGGAGAGGACTAGAAGAAATGGGAATGTTTTAAAAGATGTTTTGTGTTTATTGGATTTACAGCTCCTGCTGTAGGATTATCACTGGACTGTGATCCACACGGTCATAGTTCAAACCCACCAGCTGCTCCTTTGAAACCTGTTCAGGATTGCTGTGAATGGGAACCAATTTGATGGCAGTTAACAACAGTGTGTTTATTTGAATATTTGGGATATTGAATGTTTCTCCTACTTAGTGTTTTTTTTTTGGGGGGGGGGCAGGGGAAGAGGAGGTATTTTATTGTACTTTATTGATAGTACATGACAAGAATGGGCTCTAAGCTACCACCCTTCTCCAGGAGTTCTGGATTGAAACTGTATTGAGGATGGGAGCTTCTCAGTGTGTTTGGGGATTGAGTTGGGGTAAGAACTTCCAGTGCCTCACTCTTCCCCTAGTGCTGTTGCTAGGACTGGTGGTCCAGGGAGCTCTTATTCCTTGGAGGCCATGTGGACAATAAGGTCCACCCCTCTGTTTCTGTAACCAAATTCATTGTCATACCAGGAAATGAGCTTGACAAAGTGGTCTTTGAGGGCAATGCCAGACCCAGCATCAAAGGTGGAAGAGTGGGTGTCACTGTTAAAGTCACAGGAGACAACCTGGTCTGCAGTGTAGCACAAGATGCCTTTTAGTGGTCCATTTGATGCCTGCTTCACTACCTTCTTGATGTCATCATATTTGTCAGCTTTCTCCAGACTGCAGGTCAGATCCATGATAAACAGGTTGGGAAGGCCATGCCAGTGAGTTTCCCATTCAGTTCAGAGATGACTTGCCGACAGCCTTGGCAACACGGGTAGATGCAGGGATGATGTTGTAGGCAGCCCCATGGTCATCATGCCACAGTTTCCCACAGGGTCTTATGGGTGGCAATGATGGCATGGACTGTGGTTATAAGTCCCTCCACGACACCAGAGTTGTTATGGATTACTTTGGCCAGAGGGGCCAAACAATTAGTGGTGCAAGAGGCATTGCTGACAATCTTGAGGGAGTTGTCATAATTCTCAGGGTTAACACCCAGCACAAACATGGGAGCATCAGCAGAAAGGCAGAGATGATTACCCTTTTGGCACCACCCTTCAAGTGAGCTCCAGCCTTCCCCAATGTTGTGAAGACATTGATGGATTCTACAGCAACCCCACAGTCAACAGTTCAAAACTACCAGCTCTTCTGCAGGAGAAAGATGAGGTGTTCTGCTCCCATAAAGATTTACAGCCTTGGAAATCCTATACAGAGTCACTATGAGTTGGAACCGACTCCACGGCACACAGTCACCACCACCACAACATGTTCAGCATCAGCATCACCCCACTTGATGTTGGCGTGATCTCACTTCTGGAAGACACAGATGGGCTTACCATTGATGACAAGCTTCCTGTTCTCAGCCTTGGCAGTGCCATTAAACTTTCCATGGGTAGAATCATACTGGAATGTGTATACCGTGTAGTTTAGGTCAATGAAAGCATCACTGATGGCAACAGCCTTCACTTTTCCAGGGTTGTTAACAGCAGCCCTGGTGACCAGGAACCCAATATGGCCAAATCTGTTGACTCTAATCTTCACCATCCTGTCTCAGGGATGCAGCTAGAACTTCAAGAGAAGCTGCAGCTGCCTGTTTCATGGGGAGGAGCAGAGAGCCCCTAGTGTTTTATAGCATCTAAATGTATGAGAGAAATGAATATTAAGTATTATAGATGACAACGTGTTTCTCCAAATTTAGCCAATATTTGAGTGGATATGCTAGAAGAACTATAATTTGCCCTAAAGAAACATAGATGGATATTGAAATGCAACAGCCCTGTGTTTAGAGTTTTGGAGGCTTAGGTCAAAAACTTGAGCCCTACCTAGAACCTTCAGAGCCAGGAAATAAGCATTTAAAAGAACATGCAAATCTGCCCAGAATTTTGCATTTATTGAAGGAATTGTAGGGGTAAAAAATGGCTCTTGCTTTTTGAACATTGAGACTTCCGATGCATTGAGGCAAGAAAAGCTAATGTCTATCAAAAGAACCCCTTCCAAGACTGGAAGTTAAAAACATGCAAATAGGCAACTTGATATGCTTGTTTGTGGTGACCACTTGAGTCCAGTCAGTGAATCAGGTGTAGCAGTGAAGAGACATGACATATTCCATTGGTACATGGTGACCTGGCCCACAGGATCTAGGTATGAGGGTGGGTGGGTGAGTGGGGACTGACTGGTGAAATACAGGGAGTTTTGGGGACTTCTGAGCCTGCAGGTGGTACCCATTTACCTAGCCTATGGTAGGATAAGGATGATCTGACCACTCAACCAAATGAAGAGAAGGATGTTTAATGCTGTGAGTTGATGGCTTGCTCTGAACTAGGCTTTGTTTATGGATGCATATGCTCAAAGTTCCAATTAGAAAAGAAGGTACATGCTTGTCTCTTTAGAGTTTTGATTTGATTGGGGCAGGCAAGTTAGAAATTAGTTATCTAAAATGGGAGAGTTAAAGATGTGAAGTGGCTGACTTACATACTTTCATGAGTGTGCTTATACTAAATGAGGGATATAAGGGAGGATCCCCACTGAATGGATTCCTCTCTTCCTGATAGGTCTGGGTAAAGGAAGGTGGAAAACGATGTTTATTATGAGTATATCAGTTGTGGTTTATGGTTAGTTTTGCCATCTGGTCAGCTTGAAAGAGTGCCAGAGGAAAAGGAACTACTAACATCAAGGAGAGAGAGGAGTGGCATACATCTTTTGGATCTGGGATCTCTTTGCTGAGAACCTCCTAGAAGACAGCAGTAACCCTGGAGATGGCAAGAAAAACAGTAAAATCAGGACACCAGTAGGAGATGGTGTGGTATGCTTCCCAGTACATGAAGTGAGAGAGCTGAGTGCTTATGAATATGAACCTTGTTGGGAGAGTGAGGTAGATTCTTAGGGCACTTGTCAGCAAAGCTAGGTTTGATGAACCATAGAATGAGAGAGCTGACTGCCTTTGGACCAAGTCTTACAGGTGATATGAGTTCCTCCTGTCATATATTAGAAGAGCTGAGAGTTAAGTAACATTCATTTGAGCAGGGCAGGAGCTAAGGACCAGAGAGAAGTCTGTCTGCATGCACAACTGAAAAGAGGCTGTCCTGATCAAAGAAATATCTCCTGAGTCTTCTCTGATCCTGAATTGTAACCTGTTCTCTAATAAGTCCTGGTGTGGCACTGTAGGATAAGCACTTGACCACAAAGTCCGTTTGAACCGCAAAGTCAGTGGTTCAAACTCATAAGTCACTCCTCGGAAACTCTATACAGGGTTGCTGTGAGTCTGAATCGACTTGACAGCACATAACAACGACAACAACAACAGTTCTCTAATAAACTCTGTAACTGTGAATATTGTCTGAGAGCTTTGTGGCCACTGCAATGAATTGTCTGACCTAGCAGAGGGGAATACAGAGTGTTATGGCAGGAACAGTTGGTACCCGAATTGGTTAAAAGGTTGGAAAAAGGAGTTTTGTCTGACCTCTGCCTCATCATTCTTGGCCTGATGCTGCTGATGGTGATTTCTTTCACCTTCTTGTGAAGTTAGAGATCAGACACCAATGTGCCACCATTTTTACAGTAAGGCACCGTTTCCCATACATGGGGAAATCTTATAGCTGCCCTTCACCACACACTAAAATAAAATAGATTAAATATTTACATATGAAATCCAACTTTTACATTAGATAAGAAAATATAGGGGAGCATTTTTCTGTCCTGGGGTAAGTAAAAATGAAAAAAAAAAAAACCACTAAAATGAAATGTTGATAAATTGAACTACTTCTAAATGAATAGTAACTTTTTTTCTATAAAAAAGCTTTAAAGAATGTAAAAAGGCAAGGAACCTATTGGAAGAAGGTATTTTAAAAACAAACTATTAGAAGGATTTATATTCAGATTATCGAAGAATTATGTGTGGTGTGTAGGATCAGCACTGAATTGAACCACAAGGTTGGCAGTTCAAACTCAACCAGCTGTTCTTCAGAAACCCTGTACAACGCTGTTATGAGACAGAATTGACTCAGTGGCACTTAACAACAACATGAAATGGTTGAGGGAAAGAAAGATTGTTGTCTTTTCTTACTATCTCATTAGATAAAAATAGAAAAGAAAATTGTTGTTGTTGTTATTAGGTAATGCTAAGTTGTTACTGACTCATAGTGACCCTGTGCACAACAGAATGTAGCACTACCTGATCCTGCATCATCCTCACAATCGTTGTTAAACTTGAGCACATTGCTGCTTCCACTGCCAATCCATCTCATTGGGGGTCGTCTTCTTTATTGCTGACTTTCCATTTAAGCAAGCATAATGTTCTTCTCCAGGGATGATCCATCCTGATAATATGTTCCAAGTATGGGAGATGAAGTTTGGCCATCCTGACTTCTAAGGAACATTCTGGCTGTACTTCTTCCAGGAAAGATTTGTTTATTCTTCTAGCAGTCCATGGTATTTGTAATATTCTCCAACACCATAATTCAGATGCATCCTTCCATGGTCTTCCTTATGCATTGTCCAACTTTCACATGAATATGAGGCTATTGTAAATACCTTGGGTCAGGCAGGGGCACCTTAGTCCTCAAACCAGTATCTTTGCTCTTGACCAATTTAAAAGAAGTTTTGTGCAGCAGATTTGCTTAACATGATGCATTATTTGATTTCTTGACTGCTGCTTCCATGAGTGTTAACTGTGGGATTCCAAGCAAATGAAATCAAAATTTCAATCTTTTCTCCATTTATCATGATATAATTTATTGGTCCAGTTGTGAGGGGTTTTGTTTTCTTTACATTAAAATGCAACCCATACTAAAGGCTATGGTTTTTGATCTTCATCAGTAAGTATCTTAAGTCCTCTTCACTTTCAGCAAGCAAAGTTGTATCATCTGCATGTCACAGGTTGTTTATGAGCATTCCTCCAATTCTGATGCCACGTTCTTCATATAATCGAGTTTCTTGGATCATTTGCTCAGCATACAGATTGAATACGTGTGGTAAAAATTTTTAAGAAAATAAAATCATTATCATTTTGTTTCACAAAATAGGAAATATGAATTGGAAAAAACAATTTTTTTTTAATGTCCAACCTCACTATTAATTGGAGAATAGAAATTAAGACTACATTGAGATACCATTTTTCCTACTCTCTATGTAGTAAAGTATGAAATTTGAAAATAGCAAATATCAGTGGTTATGCATAAAAGCACATTGATAACGTGTGAATGAGTGAGGATGGCTATGTTACGGTAAAGTTTTATTTACAAAAGATTCACTAAGGCCTTCCACCACTCGTTTGTCAGTTTGTCTTACTGTGGTGGCTTTTTCTTACTGTGCTAGGCTAGCTGTGATTCTAGAAGCTATGAAACCATTTTAAATACCAGTAGTATCACCCATGGTGGACAGGTTTCAGATGAGCTTCCAGAGTAAGAAAGACTAGGAAGAATAAGAGATACTTTAATACTTCTGAGTATTTAGTCACTGAAAACCTTATGAGTAGTAGTGGAACACTGTTAGATAACACCTGAATATTGAATATTGAGACCAGAGTATTGTCAGATATAGTGCTGGAAAATGAGTCCCTCGGGTTGGAAGGCATTCAAAATACAACTGAGGAAAAACTAGAATGGAGTAAAGCTTTTGGGGCCTTCATTTACTGATGGGTGCACAACTCAAAATGAGAAACAACTGTAAATATCCATTAATAATGGAACATTGAAGAAAGTATAAATCTAGGAAAATTGGAAGTTATTAAAAGTGATCATAGAACACATAAACAGTGTGCTAGGCATTAGTGAGCTGAAATGGATTGGTGTTGGACATTTTCATCTGACAACCACATGGTTCACTATACCAGGAATCACAAATGGAGGAAGAATGGCGTCGTATTCACCATCAAAAACAACATTACAAGATCTGTCTTGTAGTACAATGCTGATAGAATAATATCCATATAACTACAAGGAAAACCAGTTAATTACAACTATTACTCAAATGTAATCACCAACCACTAAAGCCAGTGATGATGAAATTAAACAACTCTACAAAATTATTCAGTCGAAAATTGACCAAACATGCAATCAAGATGTGTTGATAATTACTGGCGATTGGAACGCAAAGGTTGGAAACAGAGGCAGGACTGTTGTTGTTTTTAGGTGCCATCGAGTCGGTACTGACCCATAGTGACCTTATGCACAGCAGAATGAAACACTGCCCGATCCTGGGCCAACCTCACTACTGTTGCCACGCTTGAGCCCATCGATGCTGCCATTTTGCCAATCCATCTCTTTGGGGGTCTTACTCGTTTTCTCTGACCCTCCACCTTACGAAACATGATATCCTTCTCCAGTGACTTGTCCCTCCTGACAATATGTCTGAAGTGTGAGAGACGAAGTTTGGCCATCTTGGCCTCCAGTGAGCACTCTGGCTGCACTTCTTCCAAAACGGATTTATTGGTTCTTTTGGCAGCCCATGGCACTTTTCAGTATTCTCCAACACCATGTGCTTGATGACAGAAATGATGCTGGCGATCACATGATAAAATTTAAACAATATAAAAAATGGCTATACACATGGACCCCGCCAGATGGAATACACAAAAATCAAATTGACTGCATCTGTGAGATGAGACAGTGGAACATCTCCATATCATCAGCCAAACTAGAGCAGGTAGATTGTGGTACAGACCACCAATTGTTCATATTGGAAGTTCATGCTGAAGCTGAACAAAACTTTAATTAAACAAGTTCACAAGAGCCAAGATTGAACATATCGAACCTGAATTTAGAGATTGAAGAACAGATTTGATGCATTAGACATTAAAGACCAAAGAGCAGAAGAGATGTTGGATGATATTAAGAATGTTGCATACGAAGAAAGTAAGAAAGACAAGACTAAAATGGATGTCAGAAGAAACTCTGAAACTTGCTCTCCAGCGTAGAGATGCTAAGACAAATGGAAGCATTGCCGAGGTACAAGAACTGAATAGAAAAAGTCAAAAGACAGCTTGAGAAGACAAAGTCAAATATTACAATGCAGAGATCTGGAATTAGAAAACCAAAAGGAAAGAACACACTCAGCATTTCTCAAGCTGAGGGAACTGAAGAAAAAATTAAAACCTCGACTTCTAATGCTGAAGAATTCTATGGATAAAATAGTGAATGATACAGAAAGCATCAAAATAAGATGGAAGGAATATATGGAGTCACTGTACCAAAAAGAAAGGGTCAATGTTCCAAAAAGAAAGGGTGTACTGAAGGCATTAGCAAAGAACAGGGCTCCAAGAATTGATGGGATACAAATTGAAATCTTTCAACAAACTGATTAAGCACTGGAAGCACTTATCTGTGCCAAGACATTTGAAATACAGCTACCTGGCCAACTGATTAGAAGAGATCCATATTTGTGCCCATTCCAGAGAGGTGACCAAACAGAATGCCGAAATCATCAGACGTTAATATCATTAATTACATCACATGTAAGTAAAATTTTGCTAAAGATAGTTCAAAAATGACTGCAACAGTACATTGACAGGAAACCTCTAGATGTTCAATCAGGATTCAAAAGAGGACATGAACAAGGGATATCACTGTTGATGTCAGATGGATCTTGGCTGAAAGCAGAGAATACCAGAAAAATGTTTACTTGTGCTTTATTGACTATGCAGTAGATTTCGAGTTATGACAAGCTATGGACAGCACTGCAGAGACTGAGTATTTCAGAATATTTAATTGTGCTCATGAGGAACCTGTACATTGACCAAGAGGCAGTTTGAACAGAACAAGGTTTAAATGGTTTAAAATTAGGAAAGGTGTGTGCCAGGGTTGTATACTTTTGCCATACTTAATTTGGTCAGTATGCTGAGCAAACAAACTGATTCTATGAAGAAAAGCATGGCATTGGGGTTAGGGGAACACTCATTAACAGCTTGTGATATGCAGATGATGCAGCCTTGCTTGTTGAAAGTAAAGAAGACTTAAAATGCTTACTGATGAAGATCAAAGATTACATACAGCCTTGAGCATGGATTTGCACCTGAGTGTAAAGGAAACACAAATCCTCACCACTGGAAATAATGTCAAGATAAATGGAGAAAAGATTGAAGTCAAGTATATCATCTCAGATCAACCATCAACCTTTATGGAAGCAGCAGTCAAGTCAAACGACATATTGCATTAGGCAAATCTGCTGCACAAGACTTCTTTAGAGTACTGAAGAGCAAAGATGTCAGTTTGATACACATGTGAAACTTGGACAATGAATAAAGACCTTAGAACAATTGATTGATTTGAGTTACCATATTGGATGAGACTATTAAAAATACCATGGACCGACAAAAGGACAAACAGATCTCTGTTGGAAGAAGTACAGCCAGAATGTTTCTTAGAAGACAAGATGGTCAGATTTTGTCTCCCATACTTTGGACATGTTATCAGGAGGAGGGCCCAGTCACTGGGAAAGGACATCAAGCTTGATAAAGTGGAAGGTCAGCAAAAAAGAAAAAGGTCCCCAACAAGATGGATTAGCACAGTGACAGGAACAATGAGCTCAAGTGTAGCAATGATTGTGAGACGGGCACGGGACAGGTTAGTGTTTTGTTCTATTGTAGATAAAAGTCTCTGTGAGTCAGAACTGACTCGACAACACACAATAACAACAACAATGCCTTTGAGCCTCAATAAACAGTGCTGCTCAGCAGAGTACTCCTAGGTATATGTTGTTGTTAAGTGCCGTTGAGTCGGTTCCAACCCATAACAACCCTATATAGGGTTTCCAAGGAGTGACTGGTGAGCTTGAACCTCCGACCTTGAAGTTCAAACAGCTTTTCTGTTAAAGTCTGGCGCATTAACCCACAGTGCCACACCTAGGTATATATGCACTAGTAAAAGGTACATGTGTATCCCAGGAGCCATGTTGGGGATGTTTATGTTTCTAATACCCGTTCCTTTAACCTCCAAAGAGAAATGGGGAAAAATCAAATGTTCATCTCAAATAGAATATATGATATAATAATAATAATTTATTATAGTGATGTGTGGTGTTACAAAATGAAGTGATTTATAGCTCCAGAGAATAACATGAATGAATTTGAAAGAGAAAAACCAAGTTTCAGAAGACTACATCAGCATTATACCTATTTTAAAACTTAAAATCAAACAAAGTTAGGTATTCTTGCTAAAAGTAAGAATAAATTCTTACCTATAAATCAAACCTTAGAATCTGACTTCTGTTATACAGGAAATGTAGGGATTAAAAGTGCAAGTAAATCATGTCTACTCCGTAGGACAACTGCCCTCATCTCTTCAATAGGAAAGTGGGACGGGAGTAATTGTTCTATAAAGCAGATTTAAGAGATAGAACTAGTTTAACACTGCACCCAAATTGTTAATGAAAGACATTTTGAATTGAAAAAATGTAAATATTAGCTAGATATGAGAATATTAATTAATATTCGTTAGGTCCTGGTGTGGCGCTGTGGGTTAATTCGCTAGACTGCAAAGCTGTTTGAACTGCAAGCTTGGCAGTCAAGCTCACCAGCCGTTCCTCGGAAACCCTATACAGGATTGCTATGGGTTGGAACCGACTCGACAGCACTTCACAACAACAACAACAACGATGATAATGTCAAATTAGAAAATATATTTTTCGTAACTGCATGTAAAGATTTCTGCATATAAAATTTCATTTTATATGAAATAATCATATTTATACTATAAATACCTAAGTTTAAAAAAAAAAGGAAGGAGTAAATATTAAAAAGCCCTAACAATTGTATAATCTAGCTATAGAGTTATTGTTGTTAGGTGCCATCGAGTCGGTACCAACTCATAGTGACTTTATGCACAGCAGAACGAAACACTGCCCGATCCTGGACCAACCTCACTACAGTTGCCACGCTTGAGTCCATCGATGCTGCCACTTGGCCAGTCTATCCCATTCGGGTGTTCTCAGTGTATATTGTAGTGTATATCAGAGCTTCATTTCTCTTATGACTCAATAATACTCCATTTTGTTTTTCCATTCATCTGTTGATAGACACTTGGTTGTTTCTACCTTTTGGCTATTGTGAATAATGCTGCAGTGAACATTGGTATACAAAGTGTATGTTTGAGTCCCTGCTTTCATGTGTTTTGGATTTATTATACCTAGAGTGGAGTTACTGTGTCTTATGGTAAATCTAGTTTTAACTTTTTGAGAAATCATCAAACTTTTCCCTAGCAGCTGAGTAATTTCACATTCCCATCAGTTTATCCACATCCTTCCCAATACTTGTTTTTTTTTCATAATAACCATTCTCCTAGATGTGAAGTCATTGTGGTCTTGATTTCAATTTCCCTTATGTCTAATACCAACAACCACTTTTCTGTCAGTTTGTGATGGCTTACATGTTGCTGAGATGCTGGAAGCTAGAAGCTATCTGTGACGCTGGTATTTCAAATACCAGCAGGGTTACCCATGGACAGGTTTCACCAGAGCTTCCAGATTAAGACAGACTATGAAGAAAAAACAGGCTGTCCACCTCTGAAAAATTAGTCACTGAAAACCTATGAGTAGCAGTGAAATATTGTCTGATATAGGGCTGGAAGAGGAACCTTTCATATTAGAAGGCACTCAAAAAGGAAGACCCTCTCCAAGATGAATTAACACAGTGGCTTTAAGAATGAACTCAAATATAGCCATCAAGAAGATGGCATAGGATGGGATGGTGTTTTGTTAGCCCTATGTTGGAACTGATACGATGGCAGCTAACAGATGTCTAATGGTGTTGAACATCTTTTCATGTCTTTATTGGTCATTTCTATATTTCTTTCAAGATGTATCTATTCAAGTCCTTTGCCTATTTAAAATTGGGTTGTTGTTTTTTGTGGTGGTGGTGGTTGATGTCCTCTTTATTTCTAAATCACTCTATTGATGCATAATTTACACTTACAAAGTTAACTCATTGTGTACAATTCAATATTTTTAGTAAATTTAAAGAGTTTATGCAACTATCTCTACAATCCAGTTTTAGAACCTTTCTGTCATTGCCAAAAGTTCCCTTGTATCCATTTGCATTCAATTCCTACTCCCTCCCACGGACCCAGGCATCTATTAATCTGCTTTCTTTCTATATAGATTTGTCTTTCCTGGTCATGTAATATGTTTGCACTCAAATATTATGTGAATAGTATTTCATTGATAAATGTTGTCTGTTCACCAGTTTATGAACATTTGAGTTGTTTCCACTATTTGGCTGTTATAAACAATGCTGACATGAACATTAGTATATAAGAACATTTTGCGTACAAGAAATACATTTTCATTTCTCTTAGGTGGATATCTACTAATGCAATTGCTGATTCATATGATAAATTAATGTATAACTTTTTAAGAAATTGGCAACCTGTTTTCCAAAGTGACTATCCATTTATCATTCCCGCCAGCAAAGTTTGAGGGTTGAGATTTCTCTACCTCCTTACACATCACTTACTGTTATCTGTTATTTTGATTACAGCTATTCTAGTGATTTTGTAATATAGTTCCTCATGGTTTTAATGTGACTTTCCCTAATAACTAATGATTTTGAATATTTTTCATGTGCTTTTTAGCTTTTTTTGTCTCTGATGAAAGGTCTGTTCCCATCTTTTGCCTGTTTTTTAAGTGTGTTGTTTTGTCTTATTAATTAATTTTTATTTATGCATCCTGGATACAGTAGATATATGGATTATACATATTTTTCCAAGCTGTGTTTGTCTTTTTATTTGTGTCTTTTGAATCACAAAATGTTTTTATTTTGATGAAGTACAGTTAATCAGTTTTCTATAGTTTCAGTTCTTCTTTGAAAGTCTGTGACCCATTTTGAGTTAATTTTTATGTATGGTCCCAACGAAAGAGTTGGCATGTGTATCCAAATGCTGCAGCTCTATTTCTTGAAAACACTCTTGACTCCTTAATCAAAAATAAAATGACCATGAATGTAAGGATTTATATTCAAATTCTCTAATATTTCTCAT